CCCCAAAACCCCAAAACCCCAAAACCCCAAAACCCCAAAACCCCAAAACCCCAGAGTGTTGCAGAGTAGTTGAATTGTTAATTCTGTTAATTTTGATTTTTGAGAATTAGATAGTGATTTTTGGCAAAAGCATGTAAGAATCATTGTTGCTGCTTGATGCTATTCTCGACGAATTTTTCTCATAGTAACGCAGTTTCTGCATTTTTAATAAAATTTTCACACTATGGTACGAGGTTAGAACAAGATTAATGAGAGAAAATTTGAATTATAAGCATGAATCTCCTGCTCGTTATAATTGCTAAAATCTTACCTTCACACCAGAACAATAATCAGAATTGCAATAAATTGACCTATCAATGCTCCTCTAAAGTCTTCATCTCTTAGCACAAAGCAGAAGTAATAAGGAAGAGGAATTCCAATAAAGACCATAAATATTGAACTTCCTGCGACTGTAAAAATGGTTGATCCTAGCCCTCTTAAAACTCCAAATTGAACTGTCTGAGTAAAATCTAGGATCTGGTGCAGAAGCACATACGGCGAAAGTGCAATGAAAGTCTTAAAAATTTCTGTCTCAGACGTGTTCAGATGTGCAATCAACTCTCTGAAGATATAAAACAGGATAGCTCAGAGACATCCTCAGGCTACTCCTCCCATTATTGATATCCATGTATACTTCCTTGCTTTTGAGAAGTGATTGTATTGTAAAGCCAAGCTTACAAGATTATGTGAAGCTGTACCGATTCCTAATGGGATTTGAATTAAAATTGAAGTGCAAGCAGTTATGATGATATAGGCTCAGAAATGCTTTTGATCGATCCAACTGGCATATAGCAATATTGCCTTAGCTGAGGTAACGCTGATAGTGTTCATAAAAGCAATTTTCCATCCTTGTCTAATGTACTGTCCCAAGAATTTCATAGAGTCTTCATTAAATCTATGCCAGGTGTTTGGATGAAGCATCGAGTATCTCTTGGCTTTGAGATATCTGAAAATTATGAAAATTGCAAGCAGATAAGCAATATTTGAAGCTATTGCGGCCCCAATAAGTCCGGCATCTAGTTTTACAACTAGGAAATAAGTAGCTATAAAATGAAGGTGAGACTTAACTTTCAAATAAAAAATCTTACCGATGACCTGAATTACAGCAGCAATTCACAGAATTCCTGTATGTACCCAATAAATATTCATTCCCTAAAATTTGGTTAAGCTGCTTTAAATTACTGCTAAATAGCTTCTGATTGTTTCAAATTGGACTTTCCCGAAAGTAGCAAATAGCATGATTATCATATATTTATATGATAATTGCTCAACCTCCGACTCAACTTTGAAGATCGTAATAAGGTTAGGGCTAAAAATTACTTAATCTACTTACTATCCGTGAAGATATGAACACCCAATGAAGATAATTCATAGCTGGACTATAAAGAATCCTGTATTAGCCACTAGAGCTCTATTGAGATGCATTCCAACTGTGTAGTAATTCATATTTCCGTAAGAAACACTGACTAGCTTTGTGAGTCCTGTTGAAAAACCATACGTAAATGTCTCGATAATTACTAGAAGTAGAGCATTTCCTAGCCCTAGGGCTGCCAGATGGTCTCTATCAGAATATTTTGCTACCAAGAAGATAGGTACTACATTTTAGACTAAATCTCACTTACCTGTTTTCATAATTGCTTCTGCTAAATACCCAAAAATGGAGTACAGGCTTTGTAGTGTAATGTTTTTGGCAGCTATTTCACAATTAGCGCATTCAATAAGGCAAGCGGAACAAAATTTAGTTGTCCAAAGCTAATATATATTTACCTATGCTCCCTTTGATTATGGACTGTTCAGGTTTATTCAAGGAGCTAGATTCTTTACAGGAACTATTGGGAGCATCCTCAATTTCCATTTTAGATATTTATTGTATATCTCAATTCCTTCGGTCCTAATGGGGTTTTGGGGTTTTGGGGTTTTGGGGTTTTGGGG